CTGACCAACTTTGGTCGGTAGATATAATTTCTGGAAAATAACCGAGCAACTTCGGTCGGTTCATAGGTCAAATATGGTCAAACTTTTGAATCACATTAATATTTACTATCTAAATAATATAAATGTAGTCCGTTATCACTTTATTTGTAATACAAATAATGAATACACTAACATATACTATAACAAGCAATATATACATATATACATATATATATATATATATATATATATATATATATATATATATATATATATATATATATATATATATATATATATATATATATATATAATAAATGAGAACTTTAGTACAATGAAGTGTGTGTGTATATATGGGAACTTAATAAATGAGAACTTTATTTTGGCTTGTAAAGGTCGTAGATTCGAGCATGATGAACTGCTATTTCCTCACTGTTTTGATTTCATATTTGTACTCAGTCATGCTGTATTCTACTGTTTTCATAACTCAGCCATGTTTACTCCGTTTTGACATCTTAAATGATATTTTGGGCTGAGCATCATATTTTTACTATGCCCTGTGGCTTTTAGAGATTCCTGACTGAGTAGGGCCGAAGGCCTGTGTTGTGAGGTTATTATGGGATCGGGCTGCGCGCCGCAGCAGTGTTGAACTGATTTATGATTATGAGGCCGAGGCCCTGAGTTGTACGCCACGAGGTGGCTTGATATGAGGCCGAGAGCCTATTGATTATGCCACGAGATGGCTTGATATTGCGCTTGGGCCGTAAGGGGCCCCTCCCGGAGTCTGTACACCCCCAGTGAGTGCGGGTACCCAGTTTGTGATGTGATATAGCCCGAAGGGCTGATGTTGTTCCATGTTATTGCCCGAGGGGCTGATACGAGTGATTGTGAGATAGCCCGAGGGGCCGGTTCTGTTGGTATTTTGCCCGAGGGGCTGATTTGTGTTTCTATCTTTTCTACTTGTTTTCATTCACTCGTTTGAACTGCTGAAAGATGTTTTAAAGAGGTTTTACTGAACTAAGAAGTTTTCATGAGTTTTCACTGTTTTACTATATTGTACTGGTTTTACACTACCTCGTTGTAGCATTTTGCTGTGTATTTACGTGTTTTCTTATCGCTTAGCTGCCTTTACTTTTATTACTTACTGAGTTGGCGTACTCACATTACTCCCTGCACCCTATGTGCAGATTCAGGAGTCTCGGGTCACGCTAGCGAGGGTTGATTGCTTTCCAGCAGGCTGTACGGAGTTGACTAGGTAGCTGCTCGGCGTTCGCAGTCCAGTGCTTCTCCTTCCTATCTTTATTTCGCTTGTTCTACCTTTGTATTAGACCATGTTGTCTCTTCATACTCTTAGACGGATTTTAGATGCTCATGACTGGTGACACCCCGATGTCGGACTGTGTTTGTTTCCGCATTTGTTCTATTTCACTCTATTTTGGGATTTATCACTTATTAATGACTTAATTATGAATTATTATAATTTTTAATTGGTTTAGGGGGTTTGTGTCGGCTGGCCTTGTTTCACGAGAGGCGCCATCACGACCGGTTCTGGTTTGGGGTCGTGACATCTAGTTAGTTTTTTGTTGGTATTGTGTTTTGGAAGTAAGCGCTTGGACATTGTTTTACGAATTAGAGGATGTAGGGGTGGTGATCTAAAGTGATGATTTTTTTCTCCTAGGTTTACAGTAGGAGTGGGTGTTGGGAATTGGGGGGTGGGGGGGGTGTGATGATGGTGGTTTGGACGTGTTTGGGGTAGGGTTAATTGGTTGTGTTATAGGTGGTATAGGGTTGTCATGTGTGGTATTGTTCTTTGTATGGGGTGGGTCCGGTGTAGGGATATGAATTGGTCGTTCAAATTGGATTTGTAGTGTTATTGGTTGGTTATGTGTAGTCGTGTGGGGTCAGCGGGTCCATAGGATTTTTGTTAGGGGGTTGGGTTGCTGAGGGTTGTTTTGGTTTTGGAAGGTGGTTTGGGTAGATTGTTTGTCCTTAGTGTTAGCAAATTTTTTGTTCTTTGTATAGGTAACCGTTTTCCATTGGCTATGTTGGCCATCTTCACTGGAGGGTGTGTTTGGGTTTTCTTCTGTTTGTTTCGAAGTGAAGGGGGTTGAAAAAATTAGACAATAGTGGAGGTTATGCCCTAAGCATCCACATTTGATACAGATTATAGTTGAGTCTTCATAGTAAATTGGTTGAGTGTGTGTACCAAGGAGAATTTCGGATGGAAGGGTTTTACCTAGTGGTGCTAAAATACAAAGTCTAGCATAACGGCATCTGGATGTATGAACTGTGCATCTGTCAATTTTTATGAGAGTTTCTATAAAAGCAGCTATTTTTTTGAGGATTTACATATCGTAGTATTCAGTGGGTAATTTCTGTAGACGGATCCGCACAGTTGCATAGTTAGTGTGAGCTAGGGTTGGATTGAATTTGGGTTCCCATTGTCGTATAGTGAGGTATTGAGATCCTATGAACCAAGGTCCATTTTGGAGTATTTTATTAAAATTTTCATTGCTCTGGAATTTGATAAGATAATATTCATATCCTAAATCTATTAATTGAAGGGTTGCATCTAGTTGCCAGAGTGAGCTTAGTTTAAGTTTGAGATTTGTGTAAGACATTTTTTTTCCTAAGAGTTTAATGATAATGGCTTGGTGCCAAGGGATGTAAAGTCTTAGTTTATCATTTGAGGAAATTGGGATAAAAAAGGGATGATTAGAGGGGTTTGAGTTTTCATCGTCTATGATTAGTTTTTCTAAGAATTCAGCTTCTAGGCTGGGGTTGATTGGAGGAGGAGGGGGTGGGGAAGTTTGTCACGAAAACTTACCTTGCTTTTGAGTGGGTTGAGAAGTTGAGTGTTGTTTTCTTTACCTTTGTTTGTAGCTTCCTTAGGTTTATCAATGCTACGATTTAGTTGATTCTTTTCTTGGTCTGTGAGTTCAATTTCCGATGATTCTTCTATGGATTGAGGGTTTGATTGGGTAGAATAGATATGGAAAATGGATGTTTAGAGAGAGTAAAAGGAGAGAAAGCCAAGAGTTGTTTCTGATTGTAGTATTGTATGTTGTGATTTCAAGATTAAGGTCTTGATGAGACTTTGCAACTGATTGAAGGATTGAAATACCCTCAAAAAATAATTTAGGCACATTAAAAAAATTCAATAAATGCGAATCTAATTATTTGGAAAAAATAGACATACAGCTTATTCTTTTGCTAAAATCCTACCAGTAGCTATACACGCTAATTTCTTGAAGAAAAAAAAAAAAATTGCTCAAAATTAGATCTGTTTTTTGGTTTGTCAGCCGGTATTTAATATCCGTATTGGTACCCTTATTAATGCGGATTCGTATCGCATAAGGAGAAATGCTCCCTACCAGAATTTTTTTCGTACCCAAGCCTCGAGCTTGAACCCCTAATTTGATAAATGAAATATTTACAAAATACTAACTTTGCTGATGAACTAATCTTCAATGTATAACAGAAGAGGGAACCACTTATTCATTCCCTAAAAACCTTGCTATAATCATTAAACTAATTAGGAATGACTTATGCATTTCCTGGAAAACTTGCTAAAACTATTAACTAATTTTACATTGGCATAACCGTGCAAGAAATGTAATTTTCTAAATCAATATAAGAGATGAAAAAAAGTTGAGTCAGCAATTTAAGTTTTTGGATTTACGATAATGATGGTAATTGATACTCTTTTCTCTAATTACGAAACTATTTTGGAATACTAAAAGAATTTTGAATTTTGACTGTTCACATTTACTTGAATTCGACGGAATAAAATGATTTACTTAAGTTCACATTTGATAGTGAATTTTTTACGTATCAAGTTATATTTATTTGATAGAGAATCTTTTACATTATATACGTTATTTAACATGTAATCACATGTTTGTTATAATTTTTACTAGGTTACCATTTAAAATTTATTATTAAGATTTACCTGCAAGGAGTGGTGGAGCTACCTTAGGCTAAGGGGTGTTAATCGACACCTCTTCGTTGAAAAATTACACTGTTTAGTTTGCTCAAAAATTTATTTTTATTCACATATATTACATGTCGAATTCCCTTAATTTCTTCATGTTTTTACTTATTTATATTTTGACGCCCCTTAATAAAAATTTTAGCTCCGCCACTGTAAAAGTGTTAAGAGAGTTCCAAGTGCTTGACTTTTTACAAAAAAGTAATATTATTCAATTTATAGCGTATCCAACATTCCATTCACAAAATGAACTTTATTTTTTCTTCTCATTTTTCTCTCTCTCTATATATAAACTCACATAGATGCTCTAGAGAGAGAGAACGTGAAGTAAATTAATTGTATTCTAGGCCCTTTTTTTTTTTGGTTCAAAAGAGAATTTATTAAAGTAGGGAACAACGAGGTACTTAGCTTTTAATGACTTGATTTTTCATTAATTTTCACGACCCAACTATTCCAATTCCACAGACTTAGGCTTTTCTATTTCTATATAATTCCCCTGGATTCTGTCTTTTAACCTGCAAAAAAACTGAACCACTGAAAGTGAAGACAAATATAAAGAGTTATCAAAAGGTAATATATACAGAAATTCTTTTTTTGAATATTTTTAGTCTTGTGTATGGTACAAAATCTTGAGAAGAACTATTTTTTGTTAATTACTGAAATTGTACCATACATTCATTTTAACTTTTACTTTGTGTTTTTCCTTGAGATATTATGTAAAGGGAACAGTGCATGTGTTTTCCACTGAAATATGTTTACTTTTTTCATATTTTTGGTTAACTAGATTATTTTCTTTAGCTAATGCAAAATATCTGAAAGAGTTGCTTTATTCTCTTATTCCTCCTTTTGAGGGCGAATCTAATTTTATAATCTTTATAAAAGTTCAACTTTTTAAAATATTTAAAAAGTTGCTTTAGTGAGCGTAATTAGGATTTAGAGTCAGTGAGTTTTATTAATTATTTATATATGTCTTGATTTTATTTACACACGCATATATATAGACTTGTGTCTTTGTGTTGTGTTTGTGTGACCTATAGCCCGTGACCTATGTTGCTGCGATCCGGCTCTCTAATTAAATGTCGTCGGGTGTGTTGAATCCTACAAAAGTAGGGTATTTTTGAAGGATCCGACACGAGTGTGACAGCATTTTGGAGAGTGTGCGCAACATAGATTACGCGTTTGAGCCGTGTAATTAGCAGATTGCCTACATATCACACCCTCTTAGGGTACGATCCTTCCCCGAACCATGCACAAACACAAAATATTTTGTGCACCAGACAACTGCTTTGTCCTTGCACGTACATATAGATTGTGTGTTAGGCGCAATGTTTTTTGTCGAACCTTTTACTTCTAGCCTCCCTCTTTGCTATAAATTCTGAACTTTTTTTTTGTGATTTAATATTAACAGGTTCTTTTTTTTTTTCAGAAAATGGGGTCTCATGGAATGAATTATGTAAATGAAAATGAAGAAATGGAGTTGGACTTTGATCCGAGTGCACCACCTCCATTTAAATTATCTGAAATTCGAGCTGCTATTCCTAAGCATTGTTGGGTTAAAAATCCATGGAAATCTCTAAGTTATGTTTTTAGAGATTTTATTATTGTTGTTGCATTGGTAGCCATAGCCATTTATTTGGATAGTTGGAAATTTTGGCCACTTTATTGGGTTGTTCAAGGTACTATGTTTTGGGCAATCTTTGTTCTTGGACATGACTGGTAAGTTAATTACATTTTTTAATTCTTGTTTTTAACTTAAATATTTTCATTGTCTACATTTTTTTATTTTATTTTTTTGCAGTGGACATGGAAGTTTTTCAGATAGTGCATTTCTGAATAGTGTGGTTGGACACATTCTTCATTCTTCTATCCTTGTACCCTATCATGGATGGTTGGTTCTTCTTTTTTCTCTATCTAAAAATTTTTCCTTTTATCATTTGCTTTAGTCACTTTTAAAAAGAAATTATAGATAAAATTATAGTCTGTACTAAGCTCTCACTATGTACGAGGCTAGCTAAAATTTTTGTTCAATGTGGGTCTATTGTAGTCTTTTTTATTGTTTACCATCTGTTGTTCGGTACATATAATAGGGCTTGACGTTTCAAATTGGGTGGTAAAGTACTCTCTAACAAAGGAAATTCTATATCTAGAGCTCGAAACTTGAAATAACTGATTAAAGATGAAGGAATACGTACCACTCCACTATAATCTTCAATCTTTGTGATAACCTTAAAAAACATTACTTTACTTGACATTATTTAAGATATTTTTTCACGACTAAGAATTGGTGACTTCTTGTATCTTTGCTAAAATTTCTCAAAAATAATTGCAGGAGAATCAGCCATAAAACTCACCATCAAAACCATGGAAATGTTGAAGCTGATGAATCTTGGGTGCCTGTAAGATATAATTGAAATACTGGATTTTCTTATGTTAAAATTACTCCTTATTTATTTAACCTCCTTTTTTACGATTTCATTTTAAATATAATTTTTTTTGCCCTGCAGATGCCAGAAAAGCTATATAAAGAACTGGATTTTGCTACCAAATTTTTTAGATTCAAGATTCCTTTTCCCTTGTTAGCATACCCAATGTACTTGGTAATAAGTATATGCTTTATTATTTTCCCTTATAAATTCAATTTAGTAATTGTTTATTCCATGTGGTTTTTAATATTAATATAATATATTTTTTGATGATGTAGATAAGCAGAAGTCCAGGGAAAAAAGGTTCTCATTTTAATCCATGTAGTGATTTGTTTCAACCTCATGAGAGAAAATATGTCATAACGTCAACTTTATGCTGGACTATTATGGTGGCTTTCCTCTACTATCTTTATACTGTCGTCGGTTCTCTCCAACTGCTTAAGCTTTATGGAATACCTTATATGGTTAGTGACACCCAAATTTTCTTGTATTATTTTTAATTGTTTTGTAACCGAGGCAATTTTTTATTTTCTAAAATTCGTTAAATTGCTCTGATATTAATTAGTATTTCTTTTTTTATGAACCACTAGAGCTGACATTAATATTTTTTGTCCTCAGATTTTTGTGATGTGGTTGGATTTTGTCACATATTTACACCACCATGGCCATGAGCAGAAGTTACCTTGGTATCGTGGCAAGGTATTTAAAACAATAAGAAAACCCTAATGTTTTCCATAATCAAAATTCAATACATATAATTTTGTCTATCTGTAGTGGTAATTATAGTGTAATTTTTTTTTGATAAATAGGAGTGGAGTTATCTAAGAGGAGGATTAACAACAATTGATCGAGATTATGGTTTGTTTAATAACATTCACCATGATATTGGCACACATGTTATTCACCATCTTTTTCCTCAGATACCACATTATCACCTCGTCGAAGCGGTAATAAAGTCTTGACTTTTATTTCAACTGAAATTCATGTCCACTTATGAATTTAAATTTCAAAATTTGAGCTTAGTCTAATATTCTTCTATCGGTTACATTTGTTTTGGAACAGACTAAAGCGGCAAAGCCGGTACTTGGGAAATATTACAGGGAGCCAAAAAAATCAGGAATAGTTCCATTTCACTTGATTGGAAATTTAGTGAGAAGTATGAAGCAGGACCATTTTGTTAGTGACAATGGAGAAATTGTGTATTATCAGACTGATCCACAACTCTTCAAATTAATTGGTAAAAATGCTGAGTGATTATTCAAAAGCCTATGTTACAGAAATATTATTTCTTGTTAACATATATTTCTAACTAATTTCCTTTGTTCAGAAACTTAGTGATGGCTATATGGTGTTGGCAAACAATTAAAGAGAATAGTATGAAGCAGTTTCCATCTATTAAAAGTGTTTGCTCTTGCTTTTACATTATCTTCATTCCTCATATCTCCTTATGCCTCGGCTATCGTGACTTACCCTGGGCTTGCCAAATAGAGGTTTATGCAATTATATGTATTTAACCTTGTAAATCCTCAAATTTTCTTAATGAATTGTTGACTATTCAAGATTATTTTTTCCGCACTCATAAATCATTTAGTTGAGAGTATTATATGTCATAATTTAAAATAAATTATTGCACGTTTGACTATTCAAAATTACTTTTTCCGTACTCAAATCATTTAGTTGGGTGTATTGTATGCCATAATTAAGATAAAAATTATTGCACGTAATTCACTAAGACAACTAGGATAGTTAATTTTAATTAAATCATTCATTTAAAAAACATTTATTTATGATTAACTTTTGTGTCTTACTATATGATAGTCTATAATGTTTTGATAGTTATTTTTCTAAATATTGTTGTTTTAACGTTTACGAGATAATATACTTATTAATTGAATAGCTTAGTATTACCTATTAATTATTTATAAATAATTAGTTATCATGGTATTGTGAATTATGTGTTTATTAACTTGCTGAGACTTAAAACTAAATGATGATAGAGAATCATTAAATTGTGAATTATGTTAAATAAATTTTCTTTCAAATAGAAAGCTTATTAAACAAATTTAAAGATTTGTGGGATTTACGCCCCATCTATTAGGGCTTATGCCTCGCCTCATCTGAGATAAAACGTTTCGCCTCACGCCCCCCGCCTTGATACTAATCAATCAGTAGACAAATATTCAATGAATGGTACTTAGAGCTAACAATTCGGCGAATTAATTAGTACATACAGCTAACAATTCGGCAAATTAATTAGTAGATGAAATTGTACGTAACATTTGTCATGTTATGTTGATCATCAGTTTTCTCTAGACTAATAATTTTTCTGTGATGTAAAAATTGTACAACATCCAATTATGATAGAACGTGGCTGAGATATAAGTTAGCACTCTTAAATTTCAAATTGTCGTGTTATGTTGATCGTATATTTCTAGCAAATTTGCAGAGCTTTGAGAGATTGTTGTTTATCTTGTCCTAATTAAGCAATCATATTTATAGAGTATTAAGACAGGTTATGGACCTTTGGTTGGAATAAAATTACCCCGAGATTAGTTATTTTAACCTTTTCATGGGATAAAAAATACTACAATCTCGGAATAACTAATCTGGAGATTAATTATACCGCATTTTCTTCCATCCAAACATATGATAAACTCCTCTTAATTTTTATCTCGGAATTAATTACTTCTTATGTGTTTGTTTTTTTTCTGAATCTGTTGTTTCCTAAGTACAAACAAACTCTGCATTTTATTAACAGTGCTTGATTCAGTTTGATACTTTTATCAGTTTGGCAGTAGCTGAATCTACTTTTGATATGACATTAGAAAGTTTTTGTCCTTTACTTGACCCTAGAAAGAGAAACTGTATAGAAGCTATGGTTGTCTATGACTACTGTCTGAGAGCTCAATCTGGACAATTTCTTTTTTACTGTCTGAGAAGCTATGGTTATCTGCTACCGTTCACCTGGCACATGAAGTTATGAGCTCATATTTATATTTTATTTTAATTTTAATAAATTTTTATATATAAATTTATACTTCGATTAAAAGTAGGGACTCTATCTATCAAAATTTAGACAGATAGGAAGAAAAAACCTAGTATTTCTGGCTACACTGTGATATCAACCTAAGACCTCATGGTTCTCCATCCGCTTCATTGACCACTAGAAATGACAATATTTTACATAAGTTAAAAATAGTATTTGAAATTGAAAATGTGTTTGAACATATGAACATCAACTTAACAAAAGACTTGATGAAAGTTAAATATTTGTGAGTGAAAATCATTATTTCTCGTGAAATAATCCTCAAACTAGTATTTGAATATTCAGAAAAGGGCCAAATATATTCCTTTATTATGCGAAATTGTTTAAAACTATCCCCGTTAGACTATTCGTCCATTCTTAGCTCCAACGTTATAGTATTTAAGTATACTCTTATTTTTAACGGAGGAACACGTGGCACGCTGAGAACAAAAAGCCCACCCTAGTTATTATACCCAGTTGGGGGATTTGCTGAATTTTTGTTCTTTATTTGCTGAAGTTTTTGTTTGTAATTGCTGAACTTAAGCATAGTAGCTGAATTTCAGCACTAAATAAGCCGAAATTTTTTTGTCCTGGATTCATTATTTTTGTCACTAAGCTGTTTCAAAAACTTCAGCAGAAGATGCTGAAGTTATTTAGTTCATTTATAAAAACTTCAGCACTAAATAAGCTGAAGTTTTTTTGTCCTGATTCATTAGTTTTGTCATTAAGCTTTTTGAAAAACTTCAGCAGAAGATGCTGAAGTTATTTAGTTCATTTATAAAAACTTCAGCACTAAATAAGCTGAAGTTTTTTTTGTCCTGGATGCATTAGTTTTGTCATTAAGCTTTTTCAAAAACTTCAGCAGAAGATGCTGAAGTTATTTAGTTCATTTATAAAAACTTCAGCACTAAATAAGCTGAAGTTTTTTTGTCCTGGATTCATTAGTTTTGTCATAAAACTTTTTCAGAAACTTCAGCAGAAGATGCTGAAGTTATTTAGTTCATTTGTAAAAACTTCAGCACTATATAAGCTGAAGTTTTTGAAAAAGCTTTCTAACATACTAGATAAATAATCAGGTTGCCAACAATATCTAAATCATAAATTTTGGAAACAATAAACGTGAAAAGAACAGAATTATCATGAAAAGAATCACTAAGTGTGACCTTAAACTTTCCGTACGTGGAAATATTCACAAATTATTGTCTACTAACTTACGTAATTATTTATAATTTATTTTTAATAATCTGATAAACATACTTATGGCAATCATCCCATGAACTGAAGTTTCATAGCAGCACCAACAGCAGCAAAAGAAAGAAGAAGAAGAAGAAGAAGAAGAAGAAGAAGAAGAAGAAGAAGAAGAAGAAAAAGAAGAAGAAAATGAAGGAGGATAAGGAGGAGGAGAAAGGGGGCTGAAGTTGTTTAAAAAGTGGGTACAAGTTAAAACTTTAAAAAAAAAATGAGTATAGGTTAAATGGGGGCGACCAAATAGGGTGCCCCGTGCAATTTTTACTACTCAGTTCGCTTACAATCCTGCCCCAATTTTAACCCATTCCCCCACCTTAAACCAGCGTCTTTTCCAGCCAAAGACCTCATTCTCTTTCTTCAAGTTTTCTTCTCTGACCAAAGACCTCATTCTCTTTCATCAAACTTCCCTCACTTTTTAAGTTTCTAGACTATCATCAGTAGTCAATGGGTGAATAATTGAGCAACAACCAAGGTGGTTCTGGAGAGTTTAAGGGTGTGTTTGGTATGAAGGAAGGCCCCCCTTCTCTAACTTAGATAGAGAAACTCTCCCCTCTCTCTAAAAATACCTATATGGACACAACCATTATACCATCAATTATACCACGGACAAGAATAATCAAATGGATGTGAAAGAAATAACACCACACTTCTATAAGAAAATGCTACTCGACAAACAGGCAATAAGCCAAACGGAGTACTACGATGAGGATACCCCCCCCCCTCCCCCCAAATCATCAAAGATGATAAACGAAAAAATACTGAAGGCTTAATCGCCCTCTCACAAGCCGACAAGAACCGCCTGTATCAACCATGTCGCTTCTCAATTATCATAAAGGTCTTTGGACGTAGAATGCCTCACCATTACCTTCGATCTAAACTAATTGACCTATGAAAACCATCCGAACAGTTAATCTTGATTGACCTAGGATAAGACTTCTTCATTGTCAAATTTAGTCTAGAGGAAAATATGGCTAAGGCACTACACCTAGGGCCATGGTTCGTCTCAAGGAACTTCCTATCAGTACGTAAATTGGAACCAAAATTTGTCCCACAAGAAGCTACTCTCTCTTCCACATCCATATAGATTCGTCTACCACAACTACCAACAGAATTTTACGACAAAGAAATATTGGAAAAAGTTGGTAGGAAATTGGGCAAATTACTCAAAATTGATTCATGCACCTCTTCTATGTTGAGAGGAAGATATTCACACATCTTTATTCAAGTACCCCTGAAAACCCCAGTGAAAATATCAGTAATCATCGGTGACCACAAGCAAAAAGTGATCTATGAAGGTGAAGATACGCTATGCATAACATGTGGAAGAATTGGTCACACAACAAAAAGTTGCAATTTCAGAAAAGTCCAACCACCGATGTCTCAAGAAGCCCCAGAAAATTCAGGGATAAACACCAAGGAAGGGGAGGACGATGGAAGGCAGACAATAACCTTCCCTAGACGAAAGAAAACAAGTCAACAAACAATGAAGGGAAGGAACAACGGAAATGAAAACAACCAGGCTCATGCACCAAAATCACAAAAAATCCAGGTAAAAATGTTCGATGCAAACTCTGGTAAGTTTTTGGAGACCAAAACGTTTCAATATAATTCTAAGTCCAATAATATGCAATTCAAAAACTACAATAGGCCCAATGGCCCTGTGAATAAACAAAATCCCAACCCCACTCCCCAGTAGCCCAACACACGTGGCCCCAGCCCAAGTACAGCGCCAAATGCAAGGCGGGAATATGGCCTGATGAAGCTAACCCCAAAAATTCAACTGGTCCCGTTAATGATGCCTACAAGGAGGCCCCTACCAATTGCCCAATCTCAGACGCATGCACTGCCAAAGATGTGGCCTTGGGCCACCAAGCCAATACCAAATCAACAACTAGGGTCCATACCCAATTGGAATCACCCAACCCAAATAATTACCCCTACCCAAATACCTATGCGTCCCCTACTCCTCTTCTAGAGGACTACTCTAATTGGGAAAACTCACCACACTCCATGAACATTCAAGTGCCTCACCTGAGAACCCACCCAATCTTTGGTGACATGACACCCTCAGTCCACTCAAACAGATACCACATTAATTCCAAATCTATTTTTCCAGATGCAATAACCGATGACCTTCTCACTGACCTAGATTTGACACCAAACAACCCATTATGAGCCGGCTCATTAACATAACCCCCACCATTACCCAAAGTAGTAAAATAAAAAAGCACAAAAATGGAAAAAACTCAGCCACCACCAACCATTGTGACGTCGCGGTTGATACCCAATTT